TCAGGAGTACAGCTCCCAAACCAGTGCTCTTTCTGTTCCCTGCACTCCCTCCGGTTGGCCACAACTTCATCAGGCCAGATGCGAGTGCCAGCTGTGTGTCTAGCATCCTGCTCTTGACAGATGAAGACTGTGCCAGTTAAAACTCTTAACATGGTGAGAGTTGAACGTTAACTTTGGTTCTTCTATTTTACAAAGTATTAACACTTTTGTCTTCATATATTTTGAAAGGTATATTCCATCTTAGGCATTTTAAGTATTTGTTTCCATTAGAAAAATGCTAGTAGTCTTATTTCTTTGACAATTACTGTTAGAAGTTTTAACTTTTAATGTTAGGAAATACAAAACATATAGAGAACCATCAGAAGAGGCAACTTTCAGAATCTTCTGACAGCCCGAGATTGCAACGGTGAAGTGGGGCAAAGTGGGCTTGAATCAATCAGGAGTTGGATTTGGTAATTAGAAGGTTACTGTGACCTTGGGCAGGTCAGTGTTAATACGGTAGTAGGAGTGGAGTCCAGGTTTGAAGGAAAAAGATGAGGGAACATGAGGAAATAGGCAACGTTTCTCTTCTAGTGGAAGGGGGAAGGCAGAGATGGTTTGAGGGAGAAGTGGTGTGAATAAGGACAGTTTTCAGGTTATCAGAGTGTGCGTATATCTGTCACTTCAGGGGAAGAAGCCCCAGGAGAGGAAGAGGGAAAAGGTGAGAGGAAAAGTTGGGCAAATTGATGAGACAAGATCCGCAGGAGGCAGGAGAAGCTGTGACCCAGAGTCAAGTTTGTAGTGTTAGAAAGGTAGTGAAATACTTACTCCTCGGAGTCAGGAGGTAGGTAAGGAAGTTACGCTAAAATGGTTCAGAGGAAGTCTGAGGTAAGGCAGGGTATTTGAAGAGGCTCAGGGCTTTAGGCTTGAGCTAGTTTTTCTAGCCTGCTGTGGAATCTTGACTCAGAAGCTAATATTCAGCTTATGCTATTTAAAAGATGGGAGTTCAGATATATAGGAAGTTTGATGGACTTTACCTAGTTTTATTTTTGAAATTTCAGTGTTTTCTTTATAATCATTTGTGGAAGATGCATTTTAAAGCAATAAACGAGGGCTAAAGGAAGTTTTAAGTTTTTGCGTGGCTCACTTTGTTGAGACGCTTTTTCTCAGGGCTTTTCATTTAGAATTGGGAGGCCCTACTGATAGCTCCATACTAAGCATTTACGGAAATTGACATGTTCAAGATCAACCCACCAGTTCTATTTCGTTGCTGCACCTATCCTTGAACAGCTGAAGTCATTCTGTGCCTTTCTCTGTATCAATCACAGATTTGCACATGCTTATGTTCTCAGAAAGCTCCTTCTAAAATCTCTACCTACAGGTGCTTTCTAGCATACGGGGTGGGATATAAAATGTCCTGTTTCAGTTGTTTGGAACTATACCTCTTCCAATAGAAATGATATTAGAAATGGCCAGCCCACAAAAGACCATTGACTCTAAAGTGTAATGGAATTATTAAAAGTAATTATTGTGGCTTGGCTGGCGTGGCTCAGTGGTTGAGCATCGACCCATGAACCAGGAAGTCATGGTTCAATTACTGATCAGGGCACATGCCCGGGTTGTAGGCTCGATCCCCAGTGTGGGGCATGCACAAGGTGGCCAGTCAATGATTCTTTCTCATCACTGATGTTTCTCTCTCTCTCTCTCCCTCGCCCCTTCCTCTTTGAAATCAATAAAAAAATATATTTTAAATAATTACTGTGTATATCTATGTTCCTATCAGGAAGTCATTAGATTTCAATTCCTGAGGTAAGAAATGTTTCTCCCACTTCTGCTTTATCTTACCCCCTACTTGTCTGGCACTGACAAAGAGGCAGCCAGCTCCAAGCCACTTAGGGTGGTTCTTGTAAGGCCCAGGAACGAGGAGTTGGGCCAGAGACTCTTGAAAGTGGACAGAGGAGCGGCTGCAGTGATGGCGTGTGTCGGTGGAGGGGTCTGCCTTGTGTTTCAGCTGGGAGCCCGGGCCCTGCCAGTGCAGACCTCCCGTCTCCTATCCTCCTCCCCTGGACCATGGTTCTCAACCAGACCTGATTTTGTCCCCACACCACACCCTCCCCCATGCACCAGGGCACTTGGCCGTGTCTAGAGACATTCTTGGCTGTCACAAACGGGGTGCTGCTACTGGTATCTAGTGGGTGTAGGCCAGTGCTGCTGCTGACCATCCACACACACACTTCCCCAGCCCCACATGCCAGCCGCGCTAAGGGTGAGAACCTCTGCTCTCGACCATGGCTGCTGGTTCGAGTCTCTTTCCCCTTCTTGCTTGGCTGCAAAACAAAAGTGTAGTTTGTGTTCCCTAATTCTCTTCTACCTTTGTTCTTGAAATATTCTCAGAGTCCTTTTGAGGTTTTTCTAAAGGCTTTACTATCATCACACCATGGAAATAGATGGGCTAAAAATAACAAGAAAATTACAGTTTCAGGACATCTTAATTAAAAGCTATCCATGTTATCCACCAGACCAGACCGTAAATAGAACAAACTTCAGCTCCTTTTCTTGGCTTTAGTCTAGTCTTCCCATTGTGGTTTCCTCTTTCCTGGGCTTCCCTCCTTCTTTACCCGGACTGCTCAGCTGGCGAGAGCCTGGGCGGGGAGAGCCTGGGCCGTGATCCGTCACCGGTCCAAATGAGGAGTGGCAGGAGTGCTGGAAACCCTTGGGTTCTTTCAACAAGGAGTGAAGGGACGTTTCCTTTGTATTGCATATCCCGTTGCCTTCCTTCTTTTAAGAAACTCACAGAACGAGATGAGGGCACAGCATCTCCCTGAGCACTGCTGCATCGGCACAGCGGTCCTTCCACGGCTGCGCTGTCCTTTCCTCCACCGCGAGCTGGTTTTCTCATCGTTTCCCTTTGAATTAGTAGAAATTTAAACATTAAGAATTAAAGATTATAGAATGTAAAAAATGTAACTTTTGATAATTTAGAATTGGAGTTGTTAGATGTAAAATATTATTAATCATATCTGTACATACTTTCCATACTTGGTTTTTTGGTAGTGTTGATTTATTTTTTTCAAATTAAATTATGTCTATATAAATTTTATTATAAAAGTACTTACTAATCTTATACTCACTGATTCCTCTGAATATGTTTTCATTAGAAATTAACTGGCTTTTGTCTTCAATGTCTTTTTCTGTAGTTGTGATATTCAAAGCTTAGTGATGGTATCCCCTAAAGAGGAAATAGAAAGCAGGCGGGGTTTCTTGGGACATCTGTCACATTCATCATTTATAACCTTCACCTAACTATCTTTCACCCAGGATGATTAATGTATTTGTGTCCTCATATATGTTGACCACATATTCAGCTGATGATGCAATGTGTAGAGAGATGTAAGGAGATCTTACTATATACCAGAGGCATTCAAAAGGCAGTGAAACATTCTATTGCAGGTATTCTTGGTGCCGGCAATGAGGTTGTTGTAAATACAACATACTACTATTCTGCCATAATACAGTTATTTTACTGTATCTTTGCATTTGTCTGGGGAGGGGATGAGGGGCAATATTATCTGATACTTTTTGTGTATCTGGGAGTCAGAATGAGAAGCCCCAAGAGTAAATATAAAGCTTGGTCTTTGCTCTGTGACAGGCCTTCCTGTACTGGCTTGTTTAATCCCCACAATAGTCTTACGTGATAGTCATTGCTGCCACAGTTTACAGAAGAGGAAATTGAGCCTTTTAAAGCTATAGAGCTTCTGCAAGGCCATACTTCTAGAGCTGGGGTTTCAGCTTGGGTTTGTATGTCTCTCAAGATCCTCATTCTAAGTCCAGTGACTCCCATATTTAGTCATTCACACAAACATTTTTTCAGTACCCCTATGTGACAGGCCTCAGGGATCCAAGATTAAAGACAGATACGGAGTCCTAAGGAATTTTTTTATCTTTTTTTTTTTTTGGCAGTGGTATATATGAAACAGACTAGAGAAAGAGGAAGGCTTGAGGACAAAGATACTATGTTATCTACTGTTGCATCCACAGGGCAAGCACTGCACATAGTAGAAGCTCAGTAAATGCATGCTGAATGGATCAAAGACAGTAGTGAGAAGTAGTAGCTAATAGGAGAGAGAATGAAGTATAGAAAGGATATGAAATCAAACAGCAGAATTGTCCTGGTCCATTTAGAGTTGGGATAAGTAAGTGGCTACTCAGTAGCCCCACGGGGTATAAAGAGCCTCTAGTGCAGTGATGGCGAACCTATGACATGCGTGTCAGAGGTGACACGCGAACTCATTTTTTTGGTTGGTTTTTCTTTGTTAAATGGCATTTAAATATATAAAATAAATATCAAAAATATACATCTTTGTTTTGCTATGGTTGCAAATATCAAAAAATTTCTATATGTGACATGACACCAGAGTTAAGTTAGGGTTTTTCAAAATGCTGACACGCCGAGCTCAAAAAGTTCGCCATCACTGCTCTAGTGTGTTCACTGAAGCCCAGAGAAGTTTCCATAAAAAATGATCTTTCACACTTCCTCCCATCCCCCCGCCTTAAAATATGCCAAAGGGCTTAACTTGAGTGCCTTGGAAAATCGCATAGGTGAAGAGCTCTTTCCCTAATGACACTGGATAAAGCGGTATTACATAATGTAATTTGTTTTCTTTCCCCTGATAAAATATAACATTACACTTTCATACCAAGTGAATCTTTAAAAATTTGAGTTACGTTCTTTGGAAGATACCTTATAAAGAGCTATCTATAGTGTGTAATGTAACAATCTATAGTACTGTAACAGGTTACATAAAGTAATAAAAACAACTTTTTTTGAGTAATATCATTTGAAAGAATTGTGATGCGTTGAAGCAATTTCTGTTTGGAGTACCATGTAGCTTTTTGTAAAGAAAAATATGGGGAAATTAGGAAACGATTGAAATGATTTCATTTTCATTATTCAACAGCATCAATGCGCTACTTTCTTGTTCCGAGAATGTGTCCATTAATAGTGATGTTTTGCTTTACAGCTTTTCTGGGAGAAGAGGCTACAAGGACTTAGTGCATCGGATGTAACAGAACAAATTATAAAAACCATGGAGCTACCTAAAGGTCTTCAAGGTATGACCTCAGCTCAGTTGAGCGGTGCCCACTGTGTGCTGGGCTCTGCGGAAGCTGTGGAGTCGGGATGGAGGGGGTGGTGTGCCTTGCTGGGTGAGGGCCCTCTTGTGTAAACCCAGGGGGAAATGTACATGAAACGCTTGTGTTTTGCAAGGATGCTTTAGGGCAGCACGTTACCTAAGATTATTTTTCTGTGTAAAAATGTTGGTTATGTTTCTCATATAAATGAATTCATGTGCTGCTTCTGGAACCTGATGCACTGGGTGGCAGGCTTTCCCAGGCTTCCTGCTCAGAGCAGCATCTGGCCCCCCCCAGCACCTGGTCTTTCTTTCTGTTACGGAAGGAAGAGCCAGCAGCTCTCCCCCTGCCTCTCCCTCCACAAACTGCTGCTGCACGCACAGCGGTGGGAACCCCTGCACCTCAGTCCTGCAGCTGCTAGGTGCCTGCCGTGTCATGTTGATTCCAAGTTCCAGAGAAGCATCCTTTCCCAAGCAGGAGAACTTCAGCTTCTAAATCTTCATGTAATGTGGATTGCTTAAAAAACCCTCATAATTCGTTGGTTAGAATGTTGTCTCATTCCTCTCTGCTCCTGGGAATTGTTGCTTTAACAAGTTTATGACTTTAAGCAATGCGGCCATAGGGGCCAGTCTCCTAAAAGTAGTCAAGGTGTGCAATTTTTAGGTAAATCTGTGAACTTGGATATTTTGTTAGGTATTTTGAAAAAAACCGTTAAAGCTGTAGGCACAGCATGCTTGCATTGGCTTCTCCTTTGAAGTCTTCAAACAAGGAAGATAAGTGTCGATATTGCTGGAAATTAATGTTAAAAGCTATAAGAGAAAGCTATTCCAGGAATAATTTAGGAAAATATTAAGGGGGATACTTGAGTATAATATGACTTCAGAAGGGACTTAGATCATTAAAATAATTGACCTTGCTTGAGGAAATGTAGCCAACTTCTAAAAAGTGGAGAAAAATTTTTGGAAAATATATTTTAAAATTATGTTAAAGTTTTATTGAATTGCTAGGCTATTTTGTTACTGTTTCTTTAATGTTAATTCATTGGTGTATAATAACTATTAAGTAGATATTATCTAATCCTTTGCTGCTTTGGCTTATATCAGTTTAATATATGACCCCCCCCCCCCCCCCCCT